ACGTCGCAACAAGCAACCTCTGTGGGCTCAGATCCTGCCCAACTCCCACCAACCTCTGTAGGCCCAAACCTTTCTCCAGCCAGAGCTCTGTAGGCCCACCTTCTGACTCCCGGTGGCCTGCAGAGACCCAGCTCCAGCTGGAGAACAGCCTATGAGGGCCCAGCGCTTGCCTCCCAGGGGGCTCTCCAGGCCTGGCTCTCACCTCATGGCAGCTTCCTGGGGCCAGGTTCCTGCCTGCCTGCCTCCCAGCAGCCTCGACAGGCCCAGCTCTTCCCACACCGTGGCCTGTTTCGGCCCAACTCACGCCTCTCGCAGCCCACCCAGAAGTGTGAGCTCCTGCCTCACACTGGCCTCCCTAGGCCAAGGTCCTCCCTCATGCTGGCCCGTTAAGGCCCAGCTCATGCCTCTCATGGCCTCTCCAGGCCCAGTCCCTGCCTGTGAGCGGCCTGTCCAGGCCCAGCCTTTACCTGACCATGGGCCCTCCCTGGTCCCAAAACTTGCCTCGCCGTGGCAACCTCGGCCCAAGCTCCTGCCATTTGGCGGCCTCTGCTGGGCCAGCTCTTGCCTCCCAGTGGCCTACTTAGGCCAAGCTCATGCCTCGACAGCGGCCTTTCCAGGCCTAGCGTTTGCTGCTTTGCAACCTCTCCAGGAACTTCACTTCCTTCAGTCGGCCTCTCCAGACCCGGCTCTTCCACCCGGCGGCCTCTGCAGGCCCAAGTCGTCCACAAGTCGGCCTGCCCTGGCCCAGCTCTCGCCTCTTGGGGGCCTCTCCAGGTGCACAAATTCCTCCCATCAGCCTCTCCAGGTACAGCTCCTCCTGCCTCCTCATGGCCTCTTTAGGCCCAGCCCAGCTCATGCCTCACAGAGGCCTTTCCAGACCCTGCTTTTGACTTTTGGCAGCCTCTTCAGGCCAAGAATTTGAGCTCCAGTCGGCCTCTCCGGGACCAGCCTCCTGCATCCCAAAGGCCTGTATACTGGGTCAGCCTCTGCCTCACAGTGGACTCTCCCACACACAGGCCATCATCTCACTGCAGCCTCCCCAGTCCGAAGTTCCTGCCTTCTGGCAGCTTCGACAGGCCCTGCTCCTGCCTCCTGATGGCCTCCTCAGTCCCGGCTCACCCCTCACAACGGCCTTACCAGGCCCAGTTTGTCCCCTTTTCTCGGCCATTCCAGGCCCAGAAGTTCCTCAAGTCGGCCTCTCCAGATCCGGCTGCAGCATCCCGGCATCCTCTCCAGGCCCAGCTCTTCCTCCCGGCTGTGTCTACAGGCCTAACTCCTGCCTCACAGCAACCTCTTTGGACTCAGCCCCCGCCCACCTCTTGGCAGCATTTGTAGGCCCAAAACTTCCTCAAGCCAAGCTCTCCGGGACCAGCTCAGGCCTCACAGTGGCCTCTCCAGGTGGTTCAGCTCCTGCTCTCTGACAGAGTCTCCAGGTCCCTAAACTTCCACCAGGCGACTCCTCTAGGCCCAGCTTGGGCCTGCTGGCGGCCACTGCATGCCTCCACATTGTTCTGAAGTCGGCCTCTCAAGGCCCAGCTCCGGCCTCCCGGCGGCCTCTCCAGGTACAACCCAGGGCCTCAAGTGGGCCCCTCCAGGGCCAGCTCCTGCCTCCCGGCTGCCTGTAGAGGCCCAGCCTCTGTCTCCCTCGTGGCGGCCTCTCCAGGCCCAGCCCTTCCCCTTCCTCCTGCCTGTGACGACAGGCCCGATGCCTGCATCGCAACAAGAAACTTCTGTGGCCTCAGCTCCTGCCGAGCTCCCGCCAGCCTTTGTAGACCCAAACCTTTCTCCAGCCAGAGCTCTGTAGGCCCACCTTCTGCCTCACGGTGGCCTGCACAGACCCAGCTCTGCCTGGAGAACAGCTTCTGCAGGCCCCGCGCTTGCCTCCCAGGGGCCTCTCCAGTCCCAGCTCTC